CAAATTACCGAAATTGATATCAAAATGGGTCAATCAAGTCGAAATACTCTCTCAAATTGAAAGAAACCAAATCATTTTTTTCTAGTCTTTTTGTTAATTTATTTTTATATTTAGTGATTTTTTTAAAATTATAAAAGTTTTAAACCTAAAACCTTTGTACGTTAAATCAAAAAGACAAAAACAAGTAATAGATTTTTTTTTGAAAATTTTCAAAATAAATTAGATTTTTATTTGTTTATAAAGATGGACCAGAAAAGTAAAAAAATTTAATGTGTTCTTGAAGAAAAAAATTACTAAAAAAAAGTGACTTATTTTAGATTAGATTCTTGGTTCATAAATCCAAAATAAAATTTATTTGGTCAAAGTCTAGGCGTTTAAATAGTTTGCCTATAAGGACAAGCTTTAGTAAAATGATCAGATTACTCATATATATTTTTGCTCTACGATGAAAACCAACTCAAAACCATCTGTTTTCTCTCTCTCTCAAACCCTTTGTTCTCTCTATTCTCTCTCTTCATGTCCGACACACCACCACCGTCACAATCTCTTTCTTCATCGTTGTCCACTGTCGTTGCCGCTAATCACTCCGCCCTTTACCACTTGATCTGTGCATACACTCACTCTCTCTCTCTTTCTCTTTCTCCACTCCGACCTCGTCGTCATCGCCGTCGTTGTTAGATCATCTCCGTCGCCAGATTATCTTCGCCGTTCCTTAGATTGCCTTCGTCGTCCCTCACCGCTATCTTCCTAAATCTGCTTACCTTAGACCACTGTCGAGCCACTACCATCACCATCGCGATCTCTTTCTGTGTGTCGACTTTTCTTTCTCTCTCACTTCCCCCCCGGGCCGTAGCAACCTTAGATCTTAGATCTAAGATCTATGTACATGTGTTTGTACCTTAGATTGAGGGTTTTACAGGTTTTATATATATATAGGGTCCAGGTTGTCTCTAGTTGGAGATCAAGATTAGATCATCCAATCCGCTCCATGGGCCCACTTTTGGGCCCCACTTATATAATCCGAACTGTTCATATTTTAGGATTCGTTGAGTATATTATCCTTATAAAAAATAAGTTAATCGGACAACGACAACTACGTGTTCAAACCAGTTTGTATAAAAAAAAAATGGACGGTAAAAAAATAAATGGTTCATATAAAACAAATTTGAACACGTAGTTGTCGTTATTCGATCGATTTGATTTTTTATGGGAACAATATTGTACTTGATGAATCCTCAAATGTAAACGGTTTGGATCATCGAAGGGGGCCCATGGAACGGACTGGAGGGTTTAGTTTTGATCTCCATCTGGAGACAAGCTAGAGCCCATATGGATAAGCTAGACCCTATATATATATATATATATATATGTGTGTGTGTGTGTGTGTGTTTGTGTGTTTGTATAAATCCAAATTTGGTATTGATCTTTGTTAGAAAAAGGGTTTCACGATGGCAATCTAATTGAGCTCTTCGAAATTGCCTCAAATATGTTCAAAATTTCTAGTGGCTTTGTGTTGATGAAACATACATTTTTTTTGGATATTTTTTTTGCCTATCTATTGTTGCTATGTATGTGATGGTGAAACATATAGTTTTTTTTTTTTTAGATTTTTTTTCTTTTTATGTTGCTGTTGATGATGATGATAACGATAATGATGATGGTGATGGTGAAACATATTGCAATAGATAGAGAGGAAAAGAAAGAGATACAAATAATTTGAAAATATAGATACCAATTTTAACAGATTAAAAATAATTTGATAGATAATTTCAACGAATATGCATTTGATAGATATTTCAATAGATAGATAGAATTTAAGGAAAAAATTGAACATATAGAAGAAAAAAAAAAGAACAAATAGATAGAATTTAAAAGAAAAAAATGAACAAATAGATAGCATTTAGGAGAAAAAATTGAACACAATAAAATTTGGACAAATATTTGAACAGATAAGGGAAAAAAATTAAATAGATAGTCAAAAAATTTAAACAAAAAGATATAAATTTGAACAAATAGTGAAAAAAAAGTCAACAGGTAAATTAAGAGGTAAAATTACAAAACAAAATGTCATCCAAAACTAACAAAACGACTTCGCACCAAAATATTTCACAACGGTTAGTCCTCTCGCCAATAAAATATATCCATTGGACCTAATGCCTTATATTATACCTACTTTCCTTAGCTTGGGTTTTTTAACGATTTACTCTTTTAGATTATCCAAAACAACCTAATCAGTTTAATATAGAATTGTATTTGCACTTATGCTAAGTAGTTCAAAATTTTGTATAATTTGATGATAACAAAAAATTAATAATTTAGTTAACGAGAAAAATCATTTTAACTGTTAGCTACTTGCCAGTAGGGGTGTGCGCGGTGCGGGTCGGTGCGGTTTGAGAGAAAAATAGAAACCATATGGCGGGTGGCGGATTGATAAAAGTGTCACTAGAATTTGCCATTTTCCTTATCGAAAACCGGCGGTTCGGTTGGCAAATAATGGCGGATTTACCTTGGCGGTTCGGGCGGATTGGCGGTTTATAAAAAATATAATTCAAATTACAAAACTTAAATCAAAGAGTAAAAAAAAGACGAGAGATATCGTAATGTTAAGCATCTTGTGAAGCTTTCTTCTGATGCAGCAAGTGTAGCAACAACATGATAATATCAACGACTATACCATCAGTTCATTACAAGCATCTGTGGAAGCTACAATGATCAAATACAATACATAAAATTCCCCTCGAGCAGTAATGTAATACTATATTCTAAGGTATAGAACAACAAGCAAACTTAAGTAAAAAAGAATTTTTAGAATCCTATAAAACATGATTTAATAGAGGTGCGGGTCGGTGCGGTTTGGAAGAAAAATAGAAACCGGCGGATTGATAAAAGTGTCACTAGATCAAAATTTTGTATAATTTGATGATAACAAAAAATTAATAATTTAGTTAACGAGAAAAATCATTTTAACTGTTAGTTACTTGCCAGTAAGGGCATTTTTGGAAAAATTAAAAATGTGATAATGTTTACACCAACTCAGATGTATATGTTATGTAAATTAATGCGCTGATAATGAGTGTAACAGTAATGATAACATGGTGGTGTTACTAATGGTAGCGGTAACAGTGATAATGGTGATGACAGTGTAGTATTACTAATAAAATTTTAGTTCACTTTTTTTCATCATTTAAAATTAAAAAATATTTTGTTGAAATAAATTTATTTTAATTTAATTACGAAAAACATTTTCTCCCTTCTAGAACTATTTAGTGCAACTTGTTGTAAAGCAAAAATTAATAATCAAAAATAAAAAAAATACCATCATTCAACTTTTAGATAATTAATTTTTTTATAAAATTTATTAAAATTATTTTTATCTAATAAATTTTAAAATTTGACACAAACTCTCCAAATAATAAGGCATTGTTTGTCATCCTCTAAAAAAGTCAAAAAGTTAAGAAGTCACTATTTGGGATGATTTAAATAAGTGTACTTTTTGACTTTTTAAGAAAAAACGTGAAATATGGATTGTGTTTGAAGTGATGTGGTAGAGAGATAATGTGATTTAAATGAGATGATGTGACTTAAATATGATAGTGACTTTTTGGCTTTTTGATTTTTTTGTAAAAAAATGACTCGTAGCTCGAATTTGGTCTGGCTCAAATGGCCCGAACGGCCCAAAACAAGTTTTTTTTTTTTTCTTCTTTTTTTCGTTTTCATTTTTTCCTCTTCATTCCTTCGAACACAAAGACAGAGAGGGAAGGGAAGAGAAGAGGAGGGAGAGAGAGAGAGAGAAAAGAGAGAAGGGAAATTTGATGTCTGGATCTGCATCTGCAAACAAATTTGCATTTGCATCTGGATCAAAAATATGAACAAAAAAAATCTGCATCTGCATCTGGATAATGTCTGGATCTACATCTGCATTTGCAAAAAAATCTGTTCATTTTTTTTCTAAGTCTGGATTTGCAAAAAAAAAAAAAAAAAATTGATAATGATAATGTTGATCCGGATCTACAGAGGAATCTTTTTGTTGTTGATGAAGATGATGAAGATAATGAAGATAATGTTGAAAATGTTGAAGATGATGAAGATGACGATGTTGAAGATGTTGAAGATGATCCGGATCTGCAGAGGTTTTTTTTTTTTTTTTTTGATGAAGATGATGATGTTGAAGATAGGAGTTTAATCCAGATGTTGAATTAAAAATGGGAGTTTAATTGCAATTCTGAAGATAATGAAAATTTGAATCTGTTGAAAAAAAAAATTGATCTGGATCTGGATCCAAAAAAAAAATTGTTTAACGAATCTGGATCTGCATCAGATTTTGAACAAAAAAAATTTGTACAACAGCTTCAGATTTTGATAAAAAAAAATCTGATCTGAGTCTGTAGATTTTGAACAAAAAAAATTTGATGTTGATGAAAATAGATCTAGATCTGTATCAGATTTTGAACAAAAAATTTATGTTCAAATTCGGAGGTTGATCACTCTCTCTCCCCTCCCCTCCCCTCCTCTTCTTTCTTCTTCGTCTCAGACAAAAGAGAAGGGCAAAAAAGAAAAAAAGAAAAAAGAAAAAAGCAAAACGACGTCGTTTTGGTGTCGAGCCAAATTCGAGCCTCCGAATTTCGGGTTACGAATCGGAATTGTTTTTTGTATTATACCAAACTAAGCTTAAGTCACATCAACTCTGTATCACATCACTTCAAATCAACTCATATTTTATAAAAAATAAAAAAATACATTTATTTAAAATATCCCAAATAACCCTAAAAATAAAATTCTACAAAGTTACTCCGAGCAGCTCTGCTATCATAGAAATATAAATAAATATTAAAAAACTGTTTTGCCCCCAAAAAATGAAAATGATAACAATTTGATAAAAAAATTTCACCAAATTAATTATTTTTGTCTAACATTTTTTTTATTACAATAGCGACGGAAATAGTACACAATACGCAAATCACCACCCCCATCTCTTTAAATGTCGCCAACCTCTCCCACTCTTTCATTGGTAACAGTAATCAAAACACTGCTCTTTCTCTTGCCAGGCGCCGCGTGCTCTCTCTCTCTCTCTCTCTCTCTCCCCCCTTTCTGTAATCCCTCCAAATGACCACTCCATCACCGCCTTCATAACCCAACATCACACCTACCCTCTCTTTCTCTTTCTCCTCTTCCCACCAAAGTTCAACACCACAGAATACAACATGGTAACTCTCTCTCTCTCTCTCTCTCTCTGTAGTGATTCATACTTGAAAAGGAATTGAATTGAATTGAATTTTTTTTTTTTTTAATTGTTCAGTTGGACTCTTCACATCTTCCTCGGTGGCTCGAAGCCCTTTTAGGAGAGAAGTTCTTCAACGCCTGTATAATTCACGAGGAAGCTAAGAAGAACGAAAAGAACATCTTTTGCTTGGATTGTTGCCATAGTATTTGCCCTCACTGCTTGTCTCCTCATCGCTCTCACCGCCTCTTACAGGTCTCTCATTTCTCTTTCAATTTTCCCTCTCTCTCTCTCTCTCTATATATATATATATGTGTGTGTGTGTGTGTGTGTGCCCGCGCTTAATAATTGAAGATCTTGTTATGATTGGTTTCAGATAAGAAGGTATGTGTATCATGATGTTATAAGATTGGGTGATGCTGAGAAATTAATGGACTGTGCCTTTGTTCAAGTAAGTCAAAATTTTCAAACAAATTACACTTTTTTTTTTTGTGAAATTACTGAACTGGGTTTTTGATTCTCTCTCTCTTTCGCTAGTCTTACACGACAAACAGTGCAAAAGTGGTGTTTCTAAATCAAAGGCCACAGACTCGGTCATGTAGAGGCTCAGGCAACATCTGCTTCACCTGCGAAAGAGGCTTACAAGACCCATATCTCTTCTGTTCTCTCTCCTGCAAGGTCTACTCACCAGTCTCTCTCTTACCCATTTTCCATTTCCACCTTTTCTCATCTGGGTTTCTCTTCTTTTTCTCTCAGATTCAACATATCCTGAGAACTGAGGGCAAGCTTTCCAGCTACATCTTCGAGTGTTTGTACCTCACGTTGCCTGAATCGGGTTTCGACGACGGCCAAATGACCCCAGACACGGTTCTGGAACAGGCCGGCTCGCTGAGGACATCGTCGGGGTCGAGCGGAAGTGGCGGTGTCGCCGGGGAGGTGGGTTGCCGGACAATGGGTTGCACCGCCACGACCGAGATAGCGAGGAAGAAAAGGAGCAGCGTTTCGGCGTCTCGGCCGGAATTTCGGCCGGTATGTGCGCCGGGATCGGAGATTTCGGTGGGTATGATGAACCGTCGTAAGGCCACTCCTCACCGGTCTCCACTTTATTGATTTCTGTACGAAAAAAGTGATGAGAGAGAGAGTGAGGAGGGGGGTTGGATTGGAACTTGTGTTTTTTGAAAGGGTATTTTAGGGATTAAACAAATTATTGGAACCTCCCAGTTTTGTAGATTACACACATCTCTCTGTGATTTGTTATAGAGCATTATGTAAGAATTTTATATTTGGTTTTGCTTTTTTACTTGTTTGCAGAAATGTTTTTTTTTTATTGTTATTAGTGAATTAAAGAGGTATAGTTGAAGAATTGTTTTAATTTGGCTGGAATAATTGTTAGTGTCGAAGAATGTTTAAAGGTCAAAGTTAAAAATAACACAAATGTTATGGATTATGAAAAAGTGCCTTCAAATTTATTTTGGTCTCATTTAGTTTAATAGAGTTATGGGAAAGGGATTATAATTAATAACTTAAACAGTTTATAATTTATAGTTGTGAATTTAAGTTAATTTTTAATTTATAAATTAAGTTTTTCCTTTTTTACTTACAGAATAAGTTGATTTTTGACTTATAAAAAATTATAAATTGTATTATTAAGTTGAACTAAACACATTAAAATAGTTTAAATTAAGTTGAAATAAGCTGGAAACAAGGCTTTGGAAATGAGTCGGAGGCCAAGTTTGGCAATTTAAAAATAATTTATCTTTTTATTTGTTTTATCACATTATTTTTTTATTTTTTTTATACCTTTTCGTAAAAAGAGAAAAAATACATTTATTTAGATTATCTCAAACAATTCATAAATTGAAGTTTTATTTAGAATGATTGTGACTTATGTTTTTGGGATTTTTTTTTTTATTTATGGATTTGTACTATTGCCAAAAACAATCAGTGTGTTTGGTTTGAATTTTTTGAATTAAGTTTTTTGAAAATTAAGTTTTTTAATTTTTGTGTTTTTTTGTTTTTAGTGAATATTTTTTAAATTTTAAACATTTTTTTTACTTTTTAGATACACCTTACTTAGATGTGTCTAAAAAGTAAAAAATTTGTGAAAAAATATTTTTAAAAATTAATAAATATATAAAAATATAAAAAAATGTACTGAATTTTCATATTTTTTTTGTATTTTAGGTATTTAATGAATTTTTAAAAGGTTTTCTTTACAAATTTTTTACTTTTTAGATATATCTAAGTTAGGTATGCCTAAAAATTAAAAAAATTGTTTAAAATATTAAAAAAAATCAGTAAAAATAAAAAAATATAAAAAATAAGAAAGTAGAATTTTCTGAAAAGTGTTTTTTGAAAAGTGAAACCAAGCAGAGTGATTAATTGCATATTTTGAACATATTTGGTGCAATTAGTTTTACTTTATTTATGACTTTTTAATTTTGAAAATTTGTTTCTATTTATAATTTAGGATTTGTCTAGTATGTTGTGTTAAAAAGTTTTGTTTGGGATAATTTGTTTTTGATTTTTTTGATTTTTATGAAAGAAAAAATGAAATGATTATGATTTTTTAGTATATTTTATCATTTTGTGATTATTTTAATCCAAAATTGGAATGCCAAAGGAAAGTTTAATGGATACATAATTTAAAAAAGTTAAAAAAAACAGATTCTTGGAAAGTAGAAGTGATGTTTTTCTAATTATTAATTTTTTTATTTATACCAAATCGGTCCAAGTTATTTATATTTTTTCTTTTCTTCTCTTTTTTTACTTTTAATTTTGTGAGTTTATTATTGGTATCCTACCGATTTGTGAGATAAAATAATTTAAATAAGTAAAAAATAATAATTATTAAGAGGTTAAGGGAGATATTTTTGATTAATAGTTTTCAACTTAAAAGATGTTGCACCAAACATTACATTCATTTAGGCTTCGTTTGGAAAGTTGTTATTTTAGTAGGCTATTTTAGTTTTTGGCTATTTTAATAAGCTAAAATTTTTGTGTTTGGGAAGATAATTGAATTTTTTTGTGGTTGGATGTGATGTTTATGAGAGAAAAAGTGAAATGATTATGGGTTTGATGTGATATTTTGTCTTATTAGCTATTTTAACTTATTTTGTCTTTTTGTGAATTTTAGCCTAAACTAAGCTATTTTTTTTCTTGCCAAACGCCCCCTTAATTTCTCAAGTACCAACGTTGTATTGACACATGAATATGGTAAATAAAATATGCTAAAATTTTGGTAATTGTTGATATTAAAGTAGTCTGTTAGCATCTTGTTAAGGTGTGAATAATACCAAGATAAAAATGAATGACAATTCATTAAGCTATAATTGATATTTTCTTCTTTGAAAATTCAAGATAAATCACTTGTGATTTGGTTAATTGTTCACTTGGACTTAAGGATGGTCATCAATCTAGTTGGCTTGTGTTAGAAGCTTATTCATAATTAAATCAATTTTGATCAATTTTAAGTTTTTGGAACTAAAAACAAACTCATCATCCTTTAAAATTAAACCAACTCGAATCCCAATTCGGGTTAATATGAGTTAGAATTACCTTAGTTAATTTTTTTTTTTTTCAAAAATGGCCATTATAAAAAAAAGTTTTTAAAAACAGTTTGTGAAGCAAATTTATATCATGATTTTTTGTAACGAAGGTCATCATAACGAATTACCATAACCAATTAAACAAAAAAATATGCATAAATATAAAAATTATATGGTCAATTTTTGTTTGGTTCCAATTAGATTTAGGCTTGGTTTGGGAAGTGAGTCGGCTTTTGATTTTTTCACTTTTTTTGGACTATTTTAGTCTGGTTTGTGAAAGCCTTTTGATTCTTTTGTGAGAGAAATAATATAATGATTATGGGTTGAATGTGATATTTTATCTTATTGAGAATAAAAAATTTATTTTATTTTTTGTGTTTATTTAGTCACAAACCCACCCAAACCCACTTCCCAAACCTAACCTTAAAAATTGAATTGGCTTGAATTTAATTAAACCGATCGAATTTATAAGGACCGTTTTCATTCGATTCGAGATTTTTTTTCCCACTGGGACCTTAAAAGTGGGAGGGAAAATTGACAATTTTATTCCTGACAAATGCTTCCTAAAACATTGTTTATATTGACATGTGTTAAAAAAAATAAAAAAAAATGAAAATGATGAAATTTTAAATTAAAAAAAAATTATATTACACTTATTAGCAAAATTATTTATCAAATGTGTTGTTTGGCAATTGGGTTGCATTGGCTTTTTGGTTAAATTAGTCACGAGAAGACAAAATATGTTAAAAAGTTAATAAAATAAAATGTCATATATAAACCATAATCATTTTACTTTTTCTTTCACAATAATTAAAAAAAATCAAAAAAGTCAACCAAAATGAACTTTTTAACTTGAACTAAAATAGTTAAAAGGTCAAAAAAATAAAAAAAATCACCCCAACTTCCCAAATGAAGCCTTTGGTTAGGATTTGGAAGCAAAAACCCTAGTATGTAGATTGATTTTTTGACTATTTTGGCCTGAGCCTAAAAAATTTCGTTTGTGATAAGTTTTTTGGCTTGTTTGAGTTTTGTGAGAGAAAAAAATAAAATGATTATGGATTGGATGTGATGTTTTGTCTTATTGAACTAAAAAGCTTATTTTAGCCAAAAAGCGCTTTTTTTATTTTTTTATGCTAAACGAGCTCTTAGTAACTAACGCGATTAGACCAATTGACTAGAACTCCCACATCTCAATAGAAGGTTAGTGGTTCAAATCCGCTCAGCTAACACTTCGTATGTTTAGGTGAAAAATATTTTTTGAAAAATGGTTTTTGTATTATTTCCCACTTGGACAAAAAAATGTTTCCCACTTTTAGAAACCAGAAAATGTTTTATGAATTAAAATTTTACCACTTACCTCCATCATCACATCACTCTCACCTCTCCCACCATACCACTGTCGCTACAGCCACTGTTATCATCGCCTACGTCACCCAACCACCACCTCTACCTTTATTTCTCCTCCTCCTCCACCACCACCACCACCACTACCAAATATAAAAAATATTTTCTTTGAAAATCATTTTTTTTTAAATTCTATAAAAAAATGTTTTCTTTTCAAATAAACTGAGCGTAAGTGTGAGTCTTATTCTACTACATATATTTATTGCAACTTTTCTCTCACATTTTAAAATTTTCTTTGTATTAATATATAAATATTATATTTGTTATTTATTATTCTAATTACATTTGATTGTATTTTATCCTAATATCATTTATGAATCAAATAAATAAATAACAATAATAATAAAAACACTTTGGTAAGATAGGGTTTGGGGGATGACTTTTGTAGACGATAATATGACCCACCAATCTTTGATGGAAACCTAACAGCAACGGGTCTCCCTTCTCTTTTGTTTCTTTTCTCCTTTATTTATTTATTTTTTCTTTTCTTCTTCCCTAGAACAGAATAGTGACAAAATATAAAGAAAAAAATTGCCAACTGTTTATTTTCCAAGGTCTCTTCATGTTTTTTGGGAAGGGAACCTCTGATTATTTTTAATTATTAGACTAATAATTTTTTGAAAAATTGTCACATCCATATGTGACTTAAATATTATGAATTAAGGATTAGATTTTTTTTTTTCATTTTAAATTGATTATTTAAACTTAAGAGAGTGTTTGAACTTAGTAAGATTATTTTGTGGTTGACCTTTGTTATCTAAATTGTTGACTTTTTAAAATTCGTTAAGTTTTCATATATGTAAAAAGTTAAGACGATAAATTGGTAACTATATATTTGAATCACAATTGTTATAAAAAAATAGATGACGACTTTAATTTTAAGAGTAACTATTCATTTTTGATAATATAAATATGAATTAAACATATACTTATCAATACCTGATCATTTTAATTTTTTTACATGAATATTTTACTTAACGAATATTAAAAAGTGAATTATTTGAATCACCAAAATAGGCCACAAAATGATCCTACCAAGTCCAAATCAAAAGAATCCAAGTTAAATTATTGTAAGGCAAAATTAGTAACGTTGTGCTTTGTATGATACTGAAGTGCATTCATTGTTGATTTCTACGGCTGTGATCCATTTGTCATGGTCCAAATTATATGGGTTTGTTATTTATTTTTAAATTCTTTGTTAATTAATAAAAGATTAATTATAAATATGAGAATCATTACATAAAACTTGACAATTACAGAATATCAATAAGAATTGAACATATAACCTCACACCACAAAAATAATACTCCACAACCATTAAGGGAAAAATCCTAATTTAAATTGTACGATTATTGGTATCGAATAGCAACTCAAAACACTACTAAATATTTTGCCTAATGAGAGTACATTATGCATTTTGCTTAATCATTT